ATAAATAAATGCTCTCTGGCACTACCACAGAATGGAATGAGTATAAAACCACACTCACATTTTGAATTAAATTGATACTATTATCTAGGTGGGAGGCAGTTATCTCTAATTGTGCAATTCAAAATGCAGTGTCAAACTCTGATATCTATGATTCAATTCACCTTCTAGATAACCATCAGAGTTGTTTATCAGAAATTTCCTTGTTTTCATTTCTGGTACCTCTGCTGCTTCCTTTGTAGCTAACATGACAAATGATGCAATGCACATTTCAACTCCCATTTTGGCTCTATGCCAATCTAGAGCTGCTGTTAGAAACAAAAGGAAGGTAAAAAGAGAAATTCTGGCAGTTTCCAGAGAAGTCAGCCCATAGTCGGATCATTTCACTGTGGAACATGCCATATATATATATATGATTTCAGAGAGAAAGGGAGAGGAAGGGAGAGGAAGAGAGAGACAGAAATATCAATGATGAGAGAGAATCATTGATTGTACGCCCCTTACTGGGGATGAAGCCCGCAACCCAGGCATATGCACTGACCAGGAATCAAACTGGTGACCTCTTGGTTCCTGGCACGACACTCAACTGCTGAGCCACACCCGGCTGGGCCAGAATGTACTTTTGATAAAGTATCAGGTTATGTGCTTCTCAAAGTAATTTTACAGATGTGTGACTGGAGAAATAACATGATGTAGAGGACTTGCATGTACAGTAAGCTAAATACCATAAGAATCACCACTGATTTTATCGTACATGTAGGAATAACTTTTTAAAAGGAGTCTTTGGAGAACCAATTTAAATAAAACATAATATAGTGTATGGCTCAAATTTAAAAAGACATGGCACAGCAATCCAATGAATAAAGAAATATCAGAAATAGTAGGTAACTGCTGAACTTATCACCTTGTGCTAGAGTTCTTGGCTCTGAATTCTTTCTGTGCCAAACTCAAGAACTGAAAGCCAGCCCTGACCGGTTTGGCTTAGTGGATAGAGCGTCACCCTGTGGGCTAAAGGGTCCTGGATTCGATTTCAGCCAAGGGCATGTACCTTGGTTACGGGCACATCCCCAGTCGGGGGTATGCAAGAGGCAGCTGATCAATATTTCTCTCTCATCGATGTTTCAAACTCTCTATCCCTCTCCCTTCCTCTCTGTGAAAAATCAATAAAATAATTTAAAAAAAAAGAACTGAGAGCCAAAATCACTGGTAACATTCACCAATGGACCTCTATAGAATGAGTATCAAATGCCAGTTGTGATAGGAGCTGTACAAGACAATGGCAGGGTCTCCTGTGGATTGCTCAAAAAGCCCAGGATACTACCTTTGGGCAACCACACTCCTATTCAGGGGTTTTGGGGCAGGGCTTCCTTTCAGTTCCCCATTAGTTAATAAATCTCTCAGCATCCAGAAATTATCATTGGGTACTTTATATGCTTTCCTCTGTAAATGGCAAGGACTTTGTTACCTGTCCCTTTATTTTTCCAGAAGTTAGGAAGTAATCTACCCTGAGGAGATGACTCAGAGCATTAGAAAAGGGGCATAGTTCCGTTTCTCTAAAAGGGTTCTGTCTTGATAGACAAGACTGACCTTTCTGTTTACATCGTAATACATCAAATTTTCTGTTTTAGGTTCCCGATAATGAATGGAGGGCAGTGAGAGGATGTGTGTGAACTTTCTGTCATGAAGGGCAATTTGCAGAAACTGATTCTCTTACAATAGTTGGTCATGAGAAGGAAATCCATCATCCAAGCATCCTGAACAGGTATTTATATTCATGAACATTTCTTAACTCTAAAGGACGATTCCAAACAAACTCTCTTAGAAATGTTACTTGTGTTACAAAGGGGTAAAAAGGGTGTGTGGGGGCAGTGTTAAACAAAGGTTAAACATTTTTTTACTGCAGAATTTTCTAGTGTTTTAAAATACTTTTCCTGCATTGTAAGTCCCCAAATTTTCAGAATTTTCCAGACTTATTTGACCACAGAACATGTTTACTGTGGGACTAGTTGGGAAATATAATAAGCCAAGGCATCTAATGAGGAGTCCAGCTACACTTCTTTTCTTTGCCATCCATATCAAAGAGCTATTGAGTCATTTTCTGGGGAGAAACTTTTAAAATGACACTTTTTACTCTTGACGAGACAGTTTCAAGGTATGGGGAGACTTCTATTTCCAGGGCTTCTGAAGATTACCCTGGGAAGAGTCACCTTACAGCAAGGAGCTGCTGAGCCCTCCCTCGCTACCCAAGAAATGGTCAGGTTTGTTCGCACACTTCCTAGTCAGGGGAAGGAGTTGGTCTCTACAGTAATTTAGCCCAGTGGAAATCTGTGGGCCCATCTTGCAAAGGAGGACCTCTTTTGGGTGTGAAAAGGCAGAAATGTTCTAGACAGAAATGATTGCAATGGGTGACACTGGGTTTTTCATAAAGAATATTTAGTTAATCAAGAGGCAGTAGGCAATAAGGGTTGCAGGGGTGAACAGAGACGATGGACTGCTAACTTTCAGGAGCTGTGAATTTCAAAGATGTTGCTACTGGTTGTGGGTTCAGACCTTTTGTGAACCTTGCTGCAAGCTCTGTTAATCTCTGAGGCTTCTGTCATTCATCTGTGGGAAATGTGATGTTAGCTATCATTATAAAACCTACAGTTAATTTTCATGAGTGTACTTGTTTGTCTGTCTCCCAATTTGTTGTGAGCTTACTTCCCACTTCTTTGTAGGCTGTAACTTCTATTACTCTGCTTACACGTGATAAGTGTTTGTTGGTTGTTGGAGATTGACTATGTATCTGCTGACCAAAGAGAAAGACTATATCAATTGAAGGTGGTTTCATAACTGTGAGTCAATGAACTTTTGAAAGAATGTTTATATGAAACCAACCTGTGGGAAAGAACGGATCCATCTGATTTGCCACATTCACTGTTCCCTTTTGCTTAAATTTTAGAAGTGACCTAAGCAAGAATGTTCCCAGGATAACGGAAAAGACTTAATGGCCTCAAGATGCAGCAAAGTTTAATACTCCTATTTATATAAAGTTACATACATATTACTGTATACAACTTAAATGTATTTTTA